TTCCAAGCACAAGTACGGCAAAAACCTATCAAATTCAACCCCCAGTCATACGTGGTTCTCATGTACATTTCGTGTAACTTTTTTGGCGGGTAAATGACTAACTCGGAAACCAGGAAAGCTGGGAGGCAGAAACATTAAAGGGATGTTCTCAGCCTGCATACAACTTAAAATTCCCAAAACCAGCCCCCAAGTATGCTCTTAGGTCATGTGCGGCACTGTGAAAACTTTAGCGAGAAAATTGCAAACTCGAGAACCAAAAAGGTGGGAGGCTCAGACCTTGGAGAATATTCCCCGCCCAAATAAGACTTAAACCTTCAAATTCATTCTTCAACTACGCGTGATTTTCGTGTAAGGGCAATTAAATTTCTGGCAGAAAAATTATTTATTGAACAGTTGGGTTATTTTCAAAAAACACCGCTAAACGAAAACAGATTATTTCATTTCATGCAAAATTTACAATGATTTTCGGAAATAAGCACACAAGGTAGGTGTGAAGAAACAACCGTTCATGCAGTTAACCTAATTCAATTTTTGGGCAAAAACGCATAATCGCTCCGGCTCGCCTAGTGCGTTCCAGCCTGGGTCTGTTCGGATATTTCAACTCGGCAAACCAAGTAAGCTCCAGCGCCAAAATTCTTCTAGTAGGTTCCCCCGCCGAGTGTCACCCCAGGACCGCGGTGCCAACTCTCAGTCAAGTCTAGGCCCCGCTTACGACAGGAGGAGTGCTGACTGCGGAGCGAGAAAAGCTAGAAAGCTGGAATTTTGAGTTCATGTTCAATGCTCACATATAACTCAAAGATTATAAACTCAGCCCCCAGGTGCTCGCGGTATCGCGCACAGCCCCCCTGTGAGAATTCCTGGCGCGAAAATCGCTCGCTTGGAAACCAGGAGACAGAAATTATAAGAGAATGTTCCCAGCCTATAATCAACTTAAATTCATCGAATTCAGCCCCCAGGCGTGCATGGATCTCACGTACAGCATCGTGAAATTTTTTAAGGAAAAAATCACTAACTTGAGAACCAGGAAAGCTGGAAGGCTAAAATTTCAAGAAGATGCTCACAAATCATGTACAACTTAGAGATTTCAAACCCAGTCCCCAAGTCAAGTGCGGCCCCGTGAAAGTTTTGGTGGGAAAATTGCTATCTCGGAAACCAGAAGAGCTGGAAAGTTGAGATTTTAGGAAAATATTCCCCCGCTCAAATACAATTTGAAGGATTCAAATTCAGCCTCCAGGTACGCGCGATTCTCGAGTACGAGCACTTAAATTTCTGGCGGAAAAATTTTTCACTGTACAGCTGGATCTTTTCAAAAAGCGACCACTAAACGGAAATTCTTTATTTTCGTTTATGCAAAATTAACGATGATTTACGATATTGAGCGCATAAGGTAGGTGTGAAGAAACAACCATTCATCCAAATAAACGAATTAGTTCAAGTCTGGTACAAAAACGCATGATCGCACTCGCAAGCCTAGTGCATCCCAGCCTGGATTCTACTTTCAGAGAGATGGGCTTTTGGAGCGCAGTGATCTTGGTGAAGGTAGCTCACTTCGTTCGATCTACCCTGGAAGTTTGCATAACGGCCAAATGTTCGCATCACAATTCAGTCTATCTGCGCCAACAAACGAAGATTTGCATGTTTCGGAATTGGCCAGAGAAACACCTGCACTATCCGGAACCCTCAACGATATGATTTCCAAGCAATATGACTTTCAACAACCTGTAACTATGCATGCCGAAGCGGCGATCGGACAATTTTCACTTCAGTCAATGCCGGATGAAAAGATGGAGTGCTCGTTGGCTGGATACTGGTGTCCAGAAGCAAATGTTAGCAATTACCAATTTTATTTTCAGGGATTTTTGCTTTGCAGCACAAAGGTTTTTATGTTTCCTACACGTCGTGCAAGTGCAGAAGAGGATATTGCCGAGAAATCGTCCATGTTTGTTTCTGTATGTATTGTAAATACAACTGTGTGGGGCATCAGAGTAAAGGGCTCATAAATGCATGGTAAACGATGGTGCTTGGTACAAAAAGCGTCGGAAGATTTACAGCTCATGAAAAATAGAAATAGTCATTAACTTCAAATGGCTGACATTCTGTCCGCAACATCAAATGTTCTGGCACATTTGACTATCAAAACCGAAGTCGCCGTGCTTGAAACATCCATGACTTTTTTCTATTTTTAGAACGATGCGTTTTCCGGGCGTAGTGATGTTGGTGAAGGTAGCTCACTTCGCTCGATCTGTCCCGGAAGTTTGCTTGACGATCGACTGCTCGGATCACAGTCCAGTCTGTCTGTGCTAACAATTGAAGATATGTATATTTCGGAATTTGCCAGAACGCAGCCTGCCTATTTCGAAACTCTCTGCGATGAAATTTTCAAGGAATGCCACTTTGAACAACCTGTAACCATGCATGCCGAAGCGGCGACCGGACAATTTTTGTTTCAGTCAATGACTTGCGAAAAGTTGGAACACTCGTTGGCTGGATGCTGGTATCCGGAAACAAATGTTAGCATTTGTCAATTCTATTTTCAAGGGCTTTTATGCGCTTTTGCTGTGCAGCGCTATAGCACTGCTATGGTAGTCAAAAACGCATATTGGCAAGAGAGTGTCTGTGTGTGTCTGTACGTTCGCATTTTTCGTCACCCATTTTCAAGTAGAGACTAGAGTAGCTAGAATGCCAAAATTTCGGGGATATGTGACCACATTCTGTGTGGCTCTTCCGTTTTAAAATTATAACTCGTGTATGTCTGGATCCAGCATACGGACGCCTCAAAAAAATATGCAAATTTCCTAGCGAGGAAACAACTACAGAAACTAGACAAGGTGGAAAGCTGAAATTTTGAGGGAATGTTATTTGCTCATGTACAATTTAAGGATTTTAATTTGGCCTTCAGGAATACGTGCTTCTCATGCACGGGCACATGGAAATTTCGGCGGAACAATTGCTAACTCGGAAATCAAAAAAGCGGAAATTTTAGGGGACTGTCCCCTATTCAGGCCAAAGATTTCATATTTAGTCCTCCAGAAGTGCGTAGTTCACACGTAGGGGCATGCAAACGTTTGGCAAGAAAATTGCTCAGCAAACAGCTAGGTAATTTTCAAATAATTTGCCGACACATCTATCGCCGATAAGAAAATACGTTTTTCGCATAGATTCGTAAGAATTTTTGTTGCTAGCGGCACCATTTTTTCCTGCAGATGCTTTTAGCTAAAAGAATTGAGACTAACATCACAACCGTTAGAAATTATTATAATGACTCACAATTTATCCTCAAAAAATCCAGCGCTCTAAATGTTTCGGTTGTGGAGCTACGTCAAATTTCACGGCTTTCGTATACAAGACATGAAAGGAACGTAAAGGTTGCTTTTAATTCCACTTGGCCAAATACCACCGGTGGTCACGCTCAAAAAGTTTCAACCCTCTAGATGCTTCAGTTCAGAAGTTAAAAAAGTGTCCGCGCCAAATTTCAAGTGCCCATACGTGACATGCAGAAGGACTGGAAAGCTCAATTTATTTTCATGAACACATCAGTGGGCGACAGTCAGCACTGCAAAATCACTGCCCCCTCTATTTTCTCAGTCGGTCTAATTTTCAAGGTGGCATGACGCCGACTAAAACTTTAATGTATTTGTGCAGTAAAGATTGTTGTGGACTAGGAGCAACCCCACAAAATTTCAGCTTCCGGCTTTTCTGATCCCCGATTAGCAGCTTACCCACAAAAAATATTCACGGACAGAACCACGTACACCTGGCGACTGAATTTGAAGCCATTAGATTGTACGTAGGTGTGAAATAACCCCTTAAAATTCCAGTCTTTTAGTTTTTCAATTTCCCAAGTTAGCAATTTACCTGCAAAAACTTTCACGGGCCCATACTTGGGATCCACTCATACCTGAGGAGCTAGGTTTGGACTTACATGGGCGGGAAATATCTCCTTAAAGTTTTAGTTTTCTGGCTTTTCTGGTTCCGATTTAACAGCTTACCCATCAAAAACTTTGATGAGCCCATACGTGGCAACAAACTGGGTAAAGCACTTGGGTAAGAGAGCTCACTTTGGGGACAGGGACCATATATGCATGTAAATCAAGTTCCTAAAGTTCCAGCTTTGTAGCTTTTGTAGGTTTCGAGATGAATCTAGGCCAAAACGCACCCGAACCCAGTCGTATATGTAAATGAACATTAGCTCATTCGTATATATGGATTTTTTGACAAAGAACTGCTCGAGCAATACTTCCACTCTTTAGTGAACTAGAAATTTGCATTTTGTCATTTTTTCACAAAGTGAATATTTAAAGAAACCCAGGCTGGAACGCACCGGACGGGCCCGTGCGATCATGCGTTTTTGCACAGGACTTG